AAGACGTTCAAGCATTTGATCAATGAAAGGTAAAGGGAAATGATCTTTGCGAGTGTTCGCATTTAGCTTCCTGTAATCGATGCACATACGCCAACCCGTCACTGTTCTTGTTAGAATCAGCTCATTTTTGTCGTTTTTTATCACTGTCATACCGCCTTTCTTTGGGACGACTTGAACCGGACTTACCCAAGGGCTGTCGGATATAGGGTAAATGATACCTGCATCCAAAAGTTTTAGTACCTCTTTCTTGACGACTTCCTTCATCGATGGATTGAGTCTGCGTTGATGTTTGATGGATGATTTGGAATCGTCCTCCAGATGAATTCGATGCATGCACAATGAAGGGTTGAGACCTTTGATATCATCTAGAGTAATTTGTTTGGTTTTTATTTTCTGAGACTACGTTATCGATACTCGGCGGTTTAATTGAATTGAGTTTATTGCTTTTGATCTTCTTGGCATGTTGATTGATTGATCTTAGATTCTGATTTACAACGAGAGCTGGAATTAGATTCGGAACAAATTCATTGAATAAATTGGTTAAGACTATTGAGAGATAGGTTAATCGGTTTAGGAACTTTGATAGTGATCATTAAGGCGTTTGATATTTTAATCTATTAGGTTGAGAGATCGATGCATGTTGATTGATTGATCTTAGATTCTGATTTACAACGAGAGCTGGAATTAGATTCGGAACAAATTCATTGAATAAATTGGTTAAGACTATTGAGAGATAGGTTAATCGGTTTAGGAACTTTGATAGTGATCATTAAGGCGTTTGATATTTTAATCTATTAGGTTGAGAGATCGATGGGTTAAATTATTGGATAGTGGATTTAGGACTTGAGAGAGCCAAATCTGATATTAGAACTTGAGGTCCCTGATTAGAGTTCGATATTCGTAGATTCTCCATCCTTAGAAACAATCCCTGCGCGTTAAGGTTATCCCGAGGCTATGGTGGTTTAGTTATCTGATTTACTTAGTTTATTTATTGCTTTACTTTCGGTGTTCATCTATTTCATCTGCTATTTGCTGATCTGAATCTTAGTCGAGTCTTGTTCTTAGTGGTAACTATTCCCTGTGTTCGACCTTGGTACTACAGTTGATCCGTATCTTTGCGGTATTCCTTGTATCTAGGTTTTTATTACTTGAGCTTATTTCTATACCTAGATTTGTGTGATCAAGTTTTTGGCGCCGTTGCCGGGGAACGAACCTGGGTCACCCGCGTGACAGGCGGGAATACTCACCACTATACTACAACGACACGACCGTGTCAATTGTTTGAGCAAATGTGCGAAAACAGACACGACCGTGCATCATTTCGGGCCAGCCCGTGCACAACTTGACACGACCGTGTCGAGTATGAACTCGGACCGTGTCGATTCTCGGACTCATTTCCAGCCTGTTCCTCTATTCGAATCTTTGCCCGTCTTCGCCGCCAAATCAACCTCCATGAATCATCTACCTGACTAGGATCCTGTAGTCACTCCGAAGCTCGAGCTAAAACCCTTGCCCATAGGACTCAGGTATGCATTTCTCGGTCTCGATTCCACTTATCATGTTATTGTCAATACTGCCTTGGATTATCTACAGCTCGAGCATCTCCTCACCACATTGCGAGACTACCGGAAAGCCATCACCTATCTACAGTGAAACGACTACTCACTACCAATAACAACAAACGAGTTCAAATCAATAAGAAGAAACATAGAAACAGATAAAGAAGACTCGCAGCAATCTCTCGACGACGATTCTTCAATCTCTGCTCCCGGGAAACTCCGTCTTGATTCTCTCTCGAGTTCTCTGGCTTCTCCTGTGATCTCCCGATGATTTGTGAAGCCCAAGACGTCCTCTATTTATTTCTTTGGCGGCTAGGCTTCTTTCCATTCCGAAAACGGAAGTTCGGATGCAAAAATAGGAAGTTTTCTCGAAACGTAACACGACCGTGTTGAATGGCAACACAGTCTGTGTCAATTATCTGACCAAAACTTCTGTGCTTCTGCTCGGGCTGGATACGGGCGAGTTGCAGATCGACACGGCCATGTTTGACGTCGACACGGTCCGTGTCAATTGTCTGTAAGAATTTCTTCGTTTCCTTGCCTTTGCACGGCCGTGTTTGAACTCAACATGGCCGTGTTCAAGTGCAACTCGAGCTGGAAATGTCTTTATCGTTCTGTTCCGGTCCAATATGCTCCGAAATCCTCGATTATGTTCCTCTGGTGTCTATAATGCGTCTATTACCTGTTCAATCACCAGACAATGCAGAAGAAACAAAACCCATTACTAAAATGATCCTAAATGTCTAATAATGCACAAAACCGATGCGAAAGTGCTACACAATGGGCTTTGAAATAGAGGAGAAAATCGTGTTATCACACTCACGCGAGGGGCCTAGCGATATCTCTCTTTTTTACGAGAGGTACAAATCCCATCTTGACTATCTACAATCCAGAACATGATTCGTGTCGTACCTGATATATGCCTTTATAGTCCTCCTGTTACGCAAGACATTTGACGTATTCAAAGTACGCAACTCCTCATGTTGGATTCCAGTAGACATCTCAGGTCATACGATCCAATCATAGAACCGTCACATGAGATTCAAGTCATGACACTAGTCCATATGACAATCTCATGCAGGTCATTCTACTAGGGAGTTTAGAATTGTTCATAACAATACATGGATTTCATAACATATTAAAGTATGCAAAACATGTAATGAATCAAACACTCATCCATATAACCAAGGTAAGTGTCAATACATCAAATGTATTAAAATAAAGCTCATATAGCAGTCCACCATAGAGTACTAAACTAACATCTTCGACTTCTTCTTTTTGTTGTGATCCAATGGAGTCTATGCAATGTGAAAAGAGACTACAATGCTATGCAATGTTAGTTAAAGTGAATGCAATGGGTGAGAGTGTAGGAGAGAGAACTATGCGGGTCCTTTAGCAGGATCCGTGGGAGGAGTCGTCGGATTGAGCATCCATGTAGGCGCCCTCTTCTTCGCTTTTGGTGTCGGGGTCTCAGGGGACGAGGAACCTGACTCGTTCGGTTAGAGGGGGTAGAACATAGACGAATATGTTGAATGACCGGAACATTCCTTCAACACACACAAACTTCCAAAATATTTCTCCCTCGCGTTCCTCGGTGAAGCCGTTTTCCATAAAATGGAGGAAGTTCATTGTGCTCCCATGAACGAAGTCGTGTATGTACGTCCCCACTCGTTCTGCAATTAGGGTTACAATTCCTCCAAAACAAATGGAATTGAGGTTCAAGAAAAGTACCTTATCCATATGGAGCACTACCCTTGAGACGACATCGACGATGTCTAGATGGTTGTTCATCATGAAGTGGAGGGGGTGCTGTTGGTTTAGTGCTCTATGATGTACTGTTTTACGAGCTTTATTTATAGATACATTTGATGTATTGACACTTTCTATGAGTTTATGGATGAATGTTTAATTCATTACGTATTGTGCATGCTTTAATATGTTATGAAATCCATGTATTATTATGAACAATACTAAACTCCCTAGTCATGTATCATTGTGGGAATAATGATATACTACGACTAGTATGATGTGTGATTGATGATCATATAGATGTTCATAGCTATTGGATACGATCACAGTCATAGGTATTCGTTGGAGAACGGAATACTGGATTGACCTGCATGAGATTGTCACATGAACTAGCGTCATGACTTGAATCTCATATGGCGGTTCCATTATTGGATCCTAAGACCTGAGATATCTACGGAATCCAACATGAGGAGTTGCGTGCTTTGAATACGTCAAACGTCCTGTGTAACAGGAGGACTATAAAGGCGTGTATCAGGTACGAAACGAATCATGTGTTGGATTGTAGATAGTCAAGACGGGATTTGTACCTCTCGTAAAAGAGAGAGATATCGCTGAGCCCCTCGTGTGAGCGAGACTGTAGAAATGTGTGGCCGCACTATAGACGAACGTCGTCTATTTCAGACAGTCGAACTCAGTGAACGAAAAAACAGTCGAATCAGATAAGGTGGCTTGTCCATGCCTTATGTTCGACATATGATATCGCGATACAAAAGGATCATCAACCGGAATCATCACTGGCATTCATAAGGTCACGAACAAACTATATTCAAGATAGGTAGGTCTAGAGACCCTGGACCGGACGGATCACGAAGTCCGGAATGGACGGAGCAGATAGATCTGAAACGGACGGACTGGACTGTCGGCAGCAACGAAAGTCGCGATTTTCGTCCGGATCCGACCTGAAAGCGATATGTGCGCACCAATCCCGACCAGAAAACCCGACTTTTCGACCCTATGCATGATTTGTCCGTCCTGGGTCCGGATTTATGCCAAAAATCCGCCTAATCCGAGTTCCATTTAACTCCTCTTCCCCCTCACTTGTCCTTCACCTTCAAACTCATAATTTTCTCTCAAATCCGAAGTATTTACGCCCAATTTGGTTCCTACAGAGCAAGAGGAGCATCACCAAGCTTCCTATCCGTCACCCATAGCACGAGGATAATCCGAGGTGAGTGAACTCGAGTTTAATTCGGAAGTCTATTGACATGGGGTTTTGGGTTTTTGAGTGATTCGTGCAAAATTGATGTTTGATTTGTGCTCCACATGAGATTTTATGAGTTTTAGAGTACCCATAGTGAATCGTGCATGATTAAGTGTTTTTGATGAAATCTGAGGACTAGAACGTCCGGTCTGAGGTCAGACCGTCCGTTCTACGGTTGCTGGAGAAAACA